CATCCCGCATAGCTATTACCTCATCAATAACACCGAAATGAACAAAGACGACATGGAGACGGTTACAGTAGGCAGAGGCTCATTTCATCAAATTGAAATTGACGTAGACACCAAAGGAACACTGATTAGGTGATGGGCATTATTTAGAGCAACATAATCATGAGTAGTAGATAGACCTTTTTAGATTAGCAGATGGGGAATAGTTGCCTTGTTTGTATAATGATATTTTGGTGAATGGGCTCTTCTAATTTTGTGATTTGTGTATTCTATTCTCTCATTGTGTAGATGGGAATACTTATCAGTTGGTTATGACATTGGGTTCGGCCTCTTCTTTAAAAGAAATGATAAGAAGAGAAGGTCACGCTCAAATGAAGTTACAACAATAGTTAGTAAATGAATGAGGGAAAGGAGAGAGAGAGAGAGAGAGAGAGAGAGAGAGAGAGGGAGGGAGAGAGAGAGAGAGAGAGCACTGCTGAAGGTTTTGCAATTAGGTCGATTTCCCGCTATACTTTGGTTTATCAAAAACTTTTATTATCAAATAAAGTGTGTGTGTGGGTATTCACCATATTAATTAAAACCTGTCATTGGCGTAATGTACATGTAACATGATACCTACTACTAATTAAAGTGGTGTTTGTTCATCCATGCACACATGTACATGTACAGTATGGTCACGTGTAGGTGTATATGATACTAATTGTATTTAATGAGAATTTAATAATTGAGAAAGAAAGAGATTAAGAGGAAAGAGAAATTAAGAGCTCAGTTAGTACAAAGACATCCAATGCACCTGTACGTACCATAAGTCACAGCAGACAGTAAATCATAATAATGGGCTATACACGTCTGCTGTTTATAGAAGGTTTAGGGAGAGGTCACAAGTAGTTATAAGTATGGTCACACAACTGACTGATCATGGGTTCCAGTGGGCTAGTTTGAGGTGGCTCTGGCTGGCTGGTACATTAGAGTGTTTGTACAAAACCTGATGAAGCTGATTGGTGTGGTTGAGTTGCCTTTTGTGAAGTCCTACTGGTGTAGCTAATAATAATAATAATTAATATTGTTTGTCATAATAAAGTTTATTAATGTATAATTCTATATACTAATGGATTAATATTTGTCATAAACTTGAGCCTGATATATGATGCAACTGCTGTGATGATTATTAATAATTAATTATTATTAATTTCTAGATTCCATCCAAGAGAAGTGAGTCACATGTTATACCTGAGACAGGATTCCACGAGTGTGAACATGAAGGAATCTGTAAGATAGAGAGAGAGAAGGAGGGGAGAAGGAGAATCAAATGTACATATTATGTACATTTAATTTCCATTTCTTTTAGATATCCTAAAATTTGATAACACTTATAGTTGGACAAGAACAAAAGAGGTTCGATACTCCGTTCAATCCCTCCCTCCCGACCCGCAGATGCTTGAAGCCTGTAGCCACTCTCCTGCACATTCACCAGTGAGCAATGGAGACGCAAGTGGTACCGCGGTGGGTACAACGGTCAAAGATAAAGACGAGGGGTTGATTGAGAATGGAGTTGGTGGGATGAGTTTAGAAGAGACGGTCGATGATATAAAACAATAGAAAAAAAAGAGCTTAATTATACATTATTGTTTTGTTTTGTAGATTTCATATACTTTTCTTTCAGTCCTTATACACTTTGTTTTTTTAGTGTCAACAAATTAGAGCTATCATCATTGTCTTTATTACATTATTGTTATAAATTGCTGAAAATAATTTATTGATAATCGTGTGCCTGGCACAATTTTTCAGATCTGCCTTAGAAACTTTAAAAATTTTTCATTATAACAACACAGTTTTAGTGATCATAATAAAACACAATAATCAATAACGGCAATAACAGTTTTTATTATATTTATAATTGATGTTAAGGAACACAACGTTTAGTCTTTCAGGATAGAGTGAGCAAAACAGGAGCAAGTAAAGGTCTGTCAGAGTCTTTTTTTAATGTCATGATAGTCCAGTATCAGAGGAAGAAAATCTGATGACAAATATTTTGGTGACAATTTGAACAAGAAAATAAACCGATGACTGGAGGAAGGGCAAGTGAAAGAAGAGCAAGTTGTATGGGGAAATTAGTAGGGGAAACACGCTAAAAAGTAAAGATAGAATAAATATCATAATAATGTTGGGGCGGAGTTTTTAAAGACGGGGAAACATCTGATTATTGTGGGCGTGGTTGAAAGGTGGAGCCTCAAAGTCTCCTAAGACGACTCTTGTTTGTTCTCTTACAGGCGACGAGGTCCACAGTCGACCGACCGCTTCCCTGGTAATCGGGACGTCGATTGGTTCTACGAGAGTGAGATCGGGTCACGCCCATATCTTTATCCTCCGGGAAAAGACAACGCCTTATGTTGGATGCTTCGGGTTTTAAGGAAAGTCTTTCGACCCCGTCAACGACACTAGAGAAGGCGGAGCCGGGCGTTCGGAGGTGGGACCAAGAGGGAGAGGAAGGTTGCTGGAACTGGAAGTAGTGAGGTTCGCTGTGTGCTCGCGAGTGACGAGGCTCTATGAAGTTGACAGGACTTAGCACTGGCCTGGAACCACCAGCTGGCACTGGGGAAGGTTGGGGCAATGACTGTTGGGCAGTGATGTAATTCTCCTACACAGGATAAGAGGGAATTTTATAATATCATTTCTATTTTACAAATTGAATATTAGTTATTTATAATTATTTCTAATATTATTATTATTGTTGCTGATTGATTACTTTCGACAGCTGGAAGTTGAGCCTTTGGTTTCGAACAAATGCAAGACGCTTTCTCCTTAGTACTCTATCATGAGCAAGAGTGTACCATTTTCTACAGACAAGGCAGACACTAATAGAAGATAGAAAGAGATGAGAGAGTTAGTTACATAGTGGAAGCATTTTTAGGTCATCTAATAAATCAGAGTGTAAAAGTGGTAACCCACACGAACAGCTGTGCTTAGCATCAACACTATCTGTCTCTCAGCTTTCTCTCTCTCTCTCTCCATCTCTCTTTTCACACCATCTGAATTTAAAAGCAATCGCGATTAAAAATAAACATTGATGCAAGAAAACGATCAATAAAGGGATTAAAAAAACACTGACACCACAACGGTTATGTCTTTCGTTCATTTCCACTATCATTATCAGCATTTACTTTCGTCCTTTCATGAAAAGGACGCGTAATCACAAGAACTTGTAATGCAACAAAACTGCAGATTGTATATTCTATATGTTCTTTTTGGTAGTGAGTAGAGATTAAATTACTATGGGACTAATAATTAAACATACTGCGCACGTTTATGGAAGACAAGAAAAAATAAATAAAGAAAAAAGTTCATAAAAAGCACAGTGCAACTTACCGTATCAGTTCCTGCGGGGAAAGATAGGAAAGAATGGAGAGGGAGATCTCTACAGGTAGATCGGTCAATATATCGAATGGAAGGGGGATCTGAGTGCGGTTGAAAGGCGGCTCAGCGCTGTTGAAACTGGGGAAGAAATGGATAGGAGAGCGCCGCTCCTTTAAACGGAGTGGCTGCCTGGAAGTGGGACTTTCGGGGCTAGAGCTAGAGGTGAGAGAGCGTCTCATTTTCCTGTGCTGCTGGTGGTAGCTGGAAGCATGGCTGGCCTCCTTTTCTTCCAAGCTCAGTGGGAATATGGCAGCCGTACAGAGCATGATATCCTACTCGCAGCAAACTCAGGAGTTGACTAAAAATAGGTGGTATTGTGGAGAGGAGGGAGAGAGGAGAGGGGAAGGGATAGACAGCCGAGATGAGAGAAACAGAAAGACTGAAGAGAGAGGAGAGAGACCCGCCACTAATAATGATTACGAGCTGAGCTACTGCACATGCGCAGTAGGTCATTTATCAGCTGTTCGCCTACACGTTAGGGGCAAAACACGCCGTCACTTCTCAAGCCTCTGACGGCTTTTCCTTACCAAGCACAAGACAGCTAAAACTGATGCTTGTAGCCAAATGAATACCCAATGCAAAAACTACTTGCAAAAACCCTTCAGGATATTCCTCGCTTTTCTATTGGGGATTGAAATTCGTGCTAAAAATCTAAGGACCCGATCAGCTGATTGCCTACTACACGAGTGTAGTGACACTCCCACAGCTAATCAGCTGATTCCAAAAATTACACCTTACGGCAATATAATTTAATCTGGCCATTATAACAACATTGTAAAATAATAATGACATCTCTAGCTCTATATGTCTCTTTTGTCCTCTCTCTTAGCTATTGTGAGTAGCAGTCAGCCCTAGCATTTCTTCTACAAAGTCTTTTGCTGTTACAAACTCAGGGATTTGCTGTAACAGTTTAGCAGGGTCAAGTGCTACATCTCCGTCTGCCTCTGACTCTAAATAATGGCCAGTACTAACGAGTGTCATCAAGTAATCCACCAGCTCTGACTCTGTAAAATGTTCACCTATCAAATAAAAAGAAATTAGTATCATGTGGTGTCACGTAGATTTTTAAGATTCATAATGCCTGCAAATATTATACCATTGACACTTGTTAATACAGTAGAATACATAGGTTTACAATTGAGGTAATGCTAAAAAAATACGTGGGTTATCTGACCTTTTGACACAATTAAAACACTTTGCAGTTGACACAAAGTTGGTCAGATTTTAATTTTACGCTCGTCTGCGTTGGGTTCTATGGCATTAAGTGTAAACCAGACTTAAGTACCATATCATTAGTGTGGAGGATCCCACTAGCGGTAAGGCGGAGGAGTAGGAGAGAATACAAGGGAATCCCTGATGCATAGACAAGAATGCAATCAAGCCTAAAAAAGACCTACACGTATAGTAACTTAGGTGAAAACAAAATAATAAAAAAGGGATTCTATTCCTAGCAAATCTTGCCATAGACCACATCAAATGTCTGGGCATTTGCTTGCAGCACCTAATCCTTGATCTTAGTGAAACCTCTTCGTGACAGCTAGTGGCCACTACCCAACTGGATTAGTGGGTTATGATGTTGAAGGAACAAGATCTAACCAACAAGAAGCGGTGGTCACTATAATTATAGCTATATATAATTTCAAAGGATCGGAATAACAAGGTTTCAGTCATTTGCCAAGTCTACATAGAAGTGTAGGTAAATGTACATGTACATGTACATGTTATGTGTGTGTGTGTGTGTGTGTTACCAAGTCCAAGTAGTATAAACATAATTTTCAACTTTTCATTGATTGTCAGCATACAGACAAAGAGTATTACAAATGATGGCATCAGACAGATTGACTCTATCTCTGAGTGTATGTGTGTGTGTGTGTGTGTGTGTGTGTGTGTGTGTGTGTGTGTGTGTGTGTGTGTGTGTGTGTGTGTGTGTGTGTGTGTGTGTGTGTGTGTGTGTGTGTGTGTGTGTGTTCCTTCATATGGACTGTATAGCTTGAGGCAGGTACTGTGTGTCTCAAAATGAAGCTGTTGTTTGTACAGTTTCAAAAGAAAACTCCATTTGTTGTAGATACTCCAGGAGGAGGTTGTCATTACACTAAACCCACAAAACCTCTCACTTTCAAGCTTTGTTTAGGAACCACAGCTACATGTACTAATATAGGTATCTGTTACCATAATATGCACTATAATATCACTGTCACACTACATGTATGTCATTCTCTGTGATACTAATAATATTCTCTGAATCTTTATCTTAGTTCCACCCCCAACAGTGTCCTATTACTATTATAATCTGTCAACACTGAGGATACACAGATAAGGCTGGTACAGGATAAACTATCCACTAACTGAGCTCATTCCAGTATTCATGAGTTGTGTATGTGTGTATCTCAGAGCTCGTTAACATGTGCAGCCTCTTCAGATACTTACTCTCTTTCTCTCTCTTTATCTCTATTGTCCTTCGATCTACATGTACATGTACATGTACATGTACACGCACGTTCATATGTAGACGTACATGTATATACATGTAGCATGCTATAGCTACTTCTCTCTCTCTCTCTCTCCTACCTTTCTCTTGAAGAAGCTGTAGCAGTTTTGTTCTCTCAATGGAGCAATTTTTTTCTTTTCCTCTTCTTTTCCCGAGTGTCTTGAACGACTGGGTAATGTCCAATGGGAGCAAGCCAAAGACTGGTCTGTGGTTGATGTACACTAGAAGGAAGAGAAGATAAACTTGAGATTATAAAATAAAGAAGGAAAGACAAAAGATGCAGGACAGAGAAAGTGAAAGAAAAACATATCCAGTAGTATAAGTATTATTTATTGTATTTGGAAACCACAATTTATACATACATATGCACATAATAGGGAAGAAATTGAAACTATACTGCCAAAGTCCACAATTACTCATAGACAGTAACAAAGACTGATTGTTATGATAATGTTAAGAACCAAGAGAGAGAGAGAGAAAGAGGAGGAGGGAGGGAGGGAGGGAGAGAAGGGGGAAGAGAGAGGGGGAAAAGGAGGAAGCTAGGGAGAGAGAGGAAAGGGAGGAAGAGAGATAAGGAAAAATGGAAATTAAGAAAAAAGTAACACAACAGATGCACAATTCTATATTCTCTTTCCTTAATAATGAGACACTAGTCTACTGCTCTACCCCACCCCAGACTCACTCTCACACACAATATGCTGGCCATTGCTGGTGCCTGTACAGGCAGGCAAGCACCAGTAGTATTACCAATTCTTTACCATACAAGCCATACACAGTGCATCCTAATGCAGCTATAGACACCTGTCCTTATTTCATCAATGAATCATGTGTGGACCAGATATAGTAACAATTATAAGAGCTAGGCTACACACCTGGCTAAACCAGGCCTGCATACATTAATAGAGAGAGACTACAGTCTGTAGTACTGTCCTTCTCTTTATTAGATTCACTATACCAGTAACACAATAATGTTGCTTCATATAGTCCAGATACTACAGGCTGTGTGATTAATGAGGAACCCTCTGTATTAAGTTAATACAGAGGGTTCCTCATTTCAGAGGTAAGTTTATACCAATTGGGATATTACAATTTACAAATGTCCTGGCTTATAATAAATGTGTCCTCATTATAAAGGTGTCCTCATTATAAAGGTGTCCTCATTATAAAGGTGTCCTCATTATAAAGGTGTCCTCATTATAAAGGTGTCCTCATTATAAAGGTGTCCTCATTATAAAGGTGTCCTCATTATAAAGGTGTCCTCATTATAAAGGTGTCCTCATTATAAAGGTGTCCTCATTATAAAGGTGTCCTCATTATAAAGGTGTCCTCATTATAAAGGTGTCCTCATTATAAAGGTGTCCTCATTATAAAGGTGTCCTCATTATAAAGGTGTCCTCATTATAAAGGTGTCCTCATTATAAAGGTGTCCTCATTATAAAGGTGTCCTCATTTATAAAGATATCCTCCTTATAGAAGTGTCTTTCACTATAGAAGGCTACAGTAGGTGTATTGAATATACACTGTACTTACTATACACATCAGCTGATGCTCTATATGAAACTCAATTATTAATTAAGTTACTAGAGTATGTGTGCATATACACAGACAGACACACAGTTATTATCATTATCAATCATTATCATTATTTCTAGGACAAACACGAAACAAGTTATTAAGTATTATGAAAGAAAACAGTGAAAGAACAAGGCCATTTAAAAATGAACATTTACATGTACCCCTCCATAGGCAGACACACAGACGAATGTATGTCCATGTACATGTACATGGACATGTTTCTGATGCAATATGGTATAAGATGAGTCTTACACTGTATGAATTGTCCCAGATCAATTTCAGTGACAATGCCACCTTTATCAACATACTGGCTAAACTTCACTTCATTTAGCATATTATCAATCTAGGAATAAAAACATACATAATAATAACAATAACAATAATAATAATAATAACATTAATTATAATATTAATAATGACAGAAAAACATTCCTAATAGGAAAAAATTGAGAGTACATTTACAAATGCATATTACATATAATGACATTAATACAGTGTATTTGCATGTACTCTACTTCATGTTCTGAAGGATAGTATCCAATGGCCCTCATCACGTAAGGTATCTGCTCAATAGCAATGGAAGCTGACGCAACCCGAGTCTTCATACAATCAGTTCCTTGCCTTTAGAAAAAAAATAAAATAATAATAATTATTATTATTTTAGCAATGTAATTGAGAAATATTGGGTACGTTGGAAATTTGGGGAAAAAATTGCCAAAATAAAACAATAATTTTTAGAAATTAATATACATGTACATGTATATGTACAGTAATTTTAGTGCATTTTTATGTGCATGTACTTACGTCCTTAGTTGTGCATAATAGAAATACTCTTCCAACTGTCCAAAGAACTCTCCCTCTCTTCCTCCTTCAATGAGAGCATAGAAAGGAAGCAATCCCTCACCACCTAACAGTGAGTGAGCTTCCAGTGAACTACACATGCAGAGAAAAACCACAAAATAATATCATCAATGACATATTTATATGCATGTACATGTACATGTACATGTACATGTACATAAGAGCAGTGCATGTACATGTACATGTACACATGCATGGATGTTCCTGTTCTTTATTTCAGGGCTCATTATAGAATCAATTAGTAACTGTTATTATAAGGAGCTGCACCCACACATCATAATAGGAAACAGTTAAAAAATAAAAATAAACGTTTTTACATGTACACTACTTACTATCATGTACAAGTACATGTACATTATAATTCATACCTCCCCCCTATCTTTCTCCCTCTCTCTCTCTCTCTCTTTCCCTCTCTCTGTTCCATTTCTTTAAACACTACATTATCCTTTTAATAAAAGGGAGATTACCTCCAAAGAGGCGGAAAAGCGTAAAGTATAGTTTTTACAAGCCCTTACTTATCGAGAAGTGTAAAGGTGAGAGATACACAATGTAGTACAAATTGTACGTTTAAAAATAAAATTATAACAATAATATTTCTTTTGCTAGTGCGTGGAATTGTGTCATGTAGTGGTATTATCTCTAAAGGCTAATAGAGTGTCATCTGGCGGTGGTTTTAAGTGAGAACCTTATCTTAAAACAACTTTACACAGTCACTTGACTCCCTTTCTATAGTTGACACAAACATCTCCGTACAATGCATCATAATACTGTCTATATGGAACTTGGAAGGATTTAATGAGGAAATGAAAAGAGAAAAAAGAGAGAGGGAGAGAGAGAGAGGAAGGGACTGTGGTACTACAAGACAGTACAAATTTGTAATTGCAGTACCATGTAACTGTAATGGTGAAACAATGATTATAATGTGAAGTATAGTGACAGTAATGCAGTAGATGTGTGGGTACACTTACTCTGTATTGATGTTCCATTGGTTCACTACACAATCCTTTCCCCCAGCAGTGAACACGCAGCTACCATCATATGCTACAGCAACATCACTGATCTAGAGCAGGGATTAATAGGCATATTTTTAATTCATTTATTCAATAATTAGTTGAAGCATTTCCACTCCCCTTAAAGCATAATAATAATAAATAAATAAATAAATAATAATAATAATAGTAATACAAAGAGAAAGAATAAAGTAATAGTAATAGTACTACTTATCCCTGCATGTACATGTACATGTATATCTATATGCAAGTAAGTTCATCTTTAGTATATAAATGCATTATTTGTATTGTACATGCATATAAACATGCAAGAAGCCAAAGGAGATCACAAGTAGAACAAAAATAACTTCATCTGTTAGATAAAGACTAAATGAGTAGCTAATTGTCATGCAAGAATGACAAGACGGCCTACCTGTTCAGGATGAGCAGTTAGACATATGCTGTTGTATGGATTACCGTCATGAGGTAATATCAACAGACCCACCTAAGGCAGAATACAATAATGAGATTATGTACATGTACATATACATGTATGTAGTAAGAAACGCATGTACATGTACAGAAGTGTTTACATAACCTATTATCTTTATAATGTAAGGTCTATAATTGAAACGTATCTCTACTACAATAATAATAATATTATCTACAGTCCAGCGAATGTACAGAATTTAAGGGCTTAATTGTTTTTGCCTTTCCAACTACATGTACATGTACATGCACAAAACGCACCATTCCATTACTACATATACATCCTCACCTATTGGTTAACAGTTTATGAGGAGCAATGTCTTTGAAGTACATGTACATGTACGTACATACATGTATATGCATCTACATATACATGTACATGTAAATGATGCAAATTCATGCACAAATGAATGGCATTTACTTTATCATTGGTGATGTATACAAGGTATCTTCTATCATCTATTACTGTCTCTTGAGTTGTATCGGCTCCCTTTGGCAGTACTATCATCCTGTGGGTATGAGTATGCACACACAAAGATTGAGCATATGTACATGTACATGTACATGTACATGTATGTATGTGTATGGAGAGTAATGTGTGTCTAGAGGGGTATGTTGTATTTATTTGTTCTTCTCTTTGCTTGTCTTTGTTGCTTTCTTTTCACAGTCTCTTGTCTGTTTTAGTTATTCTATTATTCTCCCAATTTCACACAATCCCTCTCTCTCTCCCTCCCTCTTTTTCTCCCTCTCTCTCTCTCTTTCTCTCTCTCTCTTTCTCTCTCTCCCTCCCTCCCTAGCTCCCTCTCTCTTTATCCCTCTCTCTTTCCCTCTGATAGCTATAATGACTCACTTTCTTATTGGGCTACCAAATGTAGGGCCTAGTAGAGTTTTGCGACACATTTTTGTGGTAGAATTGTAAAGCTTTATCTTGTACTACAGTGAAGGACAGTTAAAAGGTCAGTGAAAGTATAAAGATAATAAAGAATAATAGAAAAGAAAGAGCTACCACTTGTACATGCATGTACATGTACATCATATTGTACATGTATATACACCATAAATAGCTGGGGCTACATGTACATGTACATGTACATGCAGTTTTAGTCAAAAATAAAATTTGGAGAGAATTATCCATTTTTATAATTTTTCTGATGGATATACATCTTCTTATGTTGTGTAGAAAGTTTGAGCTAATTCCGATCAAAATTGAATTTTTTACAAATTTTTTAAGTTGCTCCAAAATACTAACTTCGTCATTAGCTGTTATCACAAACGACTCTACAGAAAGAGGCGGGCACCAGGTTATAGAGGTGGGTGTGGCAGTCTGCTCTATTCTATCAATGCTAAGCAACTGAAGGTTGTCTTCGCTGGAATTACAGAGATCATACTCAACCTGAAAAAATAGTAAAATTTAAAATAAAAAAAAAGATCTATGTGCATGTAAACTGACCAGCTTCCTGTCAGATCCAAGAGAAAAAAGGCGTGGCTCACCAGAATCGGGGAAAACCCCAAATAAAATGGCTAAAAAGAGAAAGAAATTAAAGAAGTGCAAAGCTAGAGGTAAATACAGCTAATAAGGTGATGGTGTACCTTCAATTTTTTTATAGTGGGCCTTATGCCTTGCAAGAAATGACCAACGCCTTCCTTTGGGAGTATTGGAAGAGACATAGAGTGTAACAGTGTGGTCTAAATCCTAAAAATAATAACAATAATAATAATAATAATAATAATAATAATAATAATAATAATAATAATAATAATAATAATAATAATAATGATGCTGATGATGATGTACGGTAAAGTTTCTTCTCTCTATAGTGGAGACAAAACATTTTCATTTATGCATTGCTGTACAGAAAGTTTAAGCAACTGTTTAGTAAGTTAAAAATGTATGGCACATGTAGATGATTATGACTGATTTGAGCTCATTTCTAATCTCATTATGTCATTGTGAAAATGATGCCACTGCCATACATACACATAATAATTTGTTTGTTTTTTGATAAAGATATGCAAATAGCATCATTTATCACACTTTCTTTTCCTTATTGTGAAGTATACTTGTACACATTGTTTTTTGTTTTTCTTTTCTTCTCTCTCTCTCTCTGTCTCTCTCTCTCTCTTTCTCTCCCCCTCTCTCTCTGTCTCTCTCCCTCTCTCTCTGTCTCTTTCTCTCCCCCCTCTCTCTGTCTCTCTCTCTCTGTCTCTCCCTCTGTCTCTCCCTCTCTCTCTCTCTCTCTCTCCCCCTCTCTCTCTGTCTCTCTCTCTCTGTCTCTCCCTCTGTCTCTCCCTCTCTCTCCTTCTCTCTCTCTCTCCCTACAGCAATAGCCATATAGCGAGAGTCATTTGAGAAGGTCAGTAAAGTAACGGTGTCCTTAGAATAATGAAATATCTCACTGACATCATGAAGAGTGACTGAATCAACAACAAGGACCTCTCCGCCAGTAAACCCAATGCCTTAAAGTATAATATAATAATAATAACAAAATAGTATGAGGGTATGAGCATGAGGGTACGAGTATGAGTGTATGAGTATGAGGGTATGGTTATGAAGGTATGAGTATGAAAGTATGAGCATGAGAGTATGAGTATGAGGGTATAAAAATGAGGGTATGAGTATGAGGGTATGAGTATGGGGTATGAGTATGAGGACATGAGTATGAGGGTATGAGTATGAGTATGAGTATGAGAGTATGAGCATGAAGGTAACCTAAGCTAGGGTATGAGTATGAGGGTATAGGTATGAGTTTATGAGTATGAGAGTATGAGTATGAGGGTATGAGTATGAGGGTATGAGCATGAGGGTATGAGCATGAGGGTATGAGTATGAGGGTATGAGCATGAGAGCATGAGTATGAGGGTATGAGTATGAGAGTATGAGCATGAAGGTATCAGTACGAGGGTATGTGTATGAGGGTATGTGTGTGTGTCTGAGGTGTCTGCACTGTATATACTAACCTACACATTCTCCTCTAGGATCATAACTCATGCACTGAACTAGTAACTGATCTGATAACTGTCTTGACATTACTACCTTCCTAAAGCAGGAGACAAGAAGGATAAGTTTTAACAAAGTTCATAACTTCATTGTCTATCACATAAAACAATAGTAGTGATCCATTAGGACACACAGTTTGGTGCATGTACATGTACATCCAATGATGCAATTAAAGCTGCCAGCAAAGGAAGAGTATTACCATACAAAGGATAGTGTCAGACAGATATACATGTACATGTACTGTACATGTACCACTGGACAGTATTATTATTATTACAAGTGCTACAGCAGTTGATTCCTTTGATTGGTTTAACATGTAGATCTGCTGCCAAATTACGTGTAGAGCTTTTTATAGTAAGAAAGTAAAGATATCTTAAAGAACCAGTACCAGTAAAGACATGAACTACATGTACTGTATTTACAAAAAGTACATACAAATACATGTACATGTATATAAACATGTAATTCCTTCCTCTTTCTCCTTACCATAGATATTATACACAATTATAATGACAATCATAATGGTCTGTGTATAATGTCTATGTCCTTACTTGGTAGAGTAGTTCCATAGTTTCAGTTTCCTGCTGTAGCTCCCTACCAGGAGCAGAGGTTGGGAAGGATGAGCTGATAGTGCAGAGACTGTAGAGTCATGATCTTCAAGGATAACCTACAGTTAAGTACATCTTTTTAAATTAAAAAATCAAAAATAAAGAAAGCTGCATAATTGTAACAAAAGACAGGCAATTAGCAACTTTCATCTGATGCACACTATTAATGCTTTGATCATCACTTTCTAGTATTTGATGTCAAAGGAAAAAGAAAAGGGAGAGAAGACCAACCATCTCACTAAAAAATGTACATGGACATTACACATTAATTCGTTGTACATGTACATGAATATGACCATAATGTCACTATGATATAAAGTTCCAAGAATCATAACCACCATCACTTAATCCAGAGTACTCACAAACTAAAATTTTTCAATACATCAAGTATGCATGTACATGTACATGTACATACATGTATACATTGTACACATGTATCTATACATTAAGTGCATGTACATATACATGTACATGTACATATACATGTACATGTACATGTATATGTACATGTACATGTATATGTACATGTACATATCTACATTGTAAGTGTATGTAGATTATACTGAAAGATTAACAATTCATTTCTTATTTCTCCTCCACTCTCTCTCTCTCTCTCTCTCATACATCTCTTATCCTTCCGTTAGTTGAGAGGTGGATGATGGAGGATACAGACGTGCTTATAGTGAAATCAGGAATGACTAGCTTGACACCATCAGCCAGTAAACTTTGATTAGGATAACCTGATAGAGATCTAAGGGGCAGAGAGAATGTCAAAAATGGTCATAACTTGAAAAATTGAAGTCGGAATCAACTCAAACTTTTTATGTAGCATAAGGACATCAATATGTATCAGAAAATGTAATAAAAATTGGGGGTGATTTTGGAGCCATTTTTCGGATAAAACCATGGGCTATAGTACAGGGTATTTTTCAGAATTTTGACGTTTTCTTAAAATGGCCGTAACTTGAAAAATTGAAGTCGGAATCGACTCAAACTTTCTACACAGCATAAATACATTAATATGTATCAGAAAATGTAATAAAAATTGGGGGTGATTCTGGAGCCATTTTTTGGAAAAAACCATGGGCTATAGTACAGGGTATTTTTTAGAATTTTGACATTTTCTTAAAATGGCCGTAACTTGAAAAATTGAAGTCGGAATCGACTCAAACTTTCTACACAGCATAAATACATCAATATGTATCAGAAAATGTAATAAAAATTGGGGGTGATTCTGGAGCCATTTTTTGGAAAAAACCATGGGCTATAGTACAGGGTATTTTTCAGAATTTTGACGTTTTCTTAAAATGGCCGTAACTTGAAAAATTGAAGTCGGAATCGACTCAAACTTTCTACACAGCATAAATACATCAATATGTATCAGAAAATGTAATAAAAATTGGAGGTGATTTCGGAGCCATTTTTTGGAAAAAACCATGGGCTATAGTACAGGGAATTTTTCAGAATTTTGACGTTTTTTTAAAATGGCTGTAACTTAAAAAATTGAAGTCGGAATCAGCTCAAACTTTCTACACAGCATAAGTACATCAATATGTATCAGAAAGTGTAATAAAAATTAGGGGTGATTTTGGAGCCATTTTTTGGAAAAAACCATGGGCTATAGTACAGGGTATCTTTCTGAAATTGTACAATATTAATTGCAGTGCATGTTCATGATGTTTACGTTATAGAAGAACTGGTCATTAGTTTGATGGAATAAGCAAACGACACTGATGCAATAGGACCAGTACACAAATCAGTATACCTAGGGAAAGAAATAGATCAAGAAAAAGAAGAAAAGAGAGAGAGAGCTTTATATACAGTCCATAGTACAAGTACATGTACAAATTACTAACCAGTATAGCAGCTTTAGATTTTTATCAAAAAACTTAACATGTCCAATGCTATCCCCAGTGACAATACATCGACAAGGATCACTAGAAAAGTGTACGTTATCATACTAAAGTGGGTGTGGTTAATGGGTGTGGTCTCACTGGTTTATGGTGGTGATGGCAGTGACTGGGTAATCATGTAGTTTCATCAGTCGGACCGGTTTCTTCTTTTCAAGTCTCAGCTCGCTAAGGGGTCTCATCTCCTCTGTAATGAAAAATAAAATAATCATAAATAATAATAAGATAATAATAATAATATATATCATTTACATGTATTATGTGTACATGTACATGTACGTTAATGAAAATAGAGTAATCAGAAAACCAAAACTTAAGGAAATGAGCTCTTTAGTTGCTTATTTTCCTATTTCTTTCCTTATTGTGCTCTATCAGGTATACTCACTCACTATAATACTATTACTGTCATATTACATGAACATGGAGTCCCTATTTGATGATTTAATTGCTACATGATGGCTATATATACAGTCATTAAGACACTTCATTTTCATTTGGTAACTTGTGCAAATTCAGTTGCAGAAATTCACAAAATAAACTTAACTCCATAAAACTCTTAATGTGTAATAGATCCTATACATCTCTGCTAGTACATGTACATGTAATACAACTACATGTACATGTACATGTACATGTATATACTAACGATTGTGGTATAGTCCGCTAGTTTCCCACACAACAGCACATCCTTCAGAGGTACCAGTCAGAGCCCAATGGTTGGACCCATCAGGTAGGAACACAGTCTGTGATAAAAGACCCACGGATTTATTGAAATCCCTGTCGCTAACCGGAGTAGTGCATACAGAAAGACCTTTGGCAGTCTAAGAATACATGTACATAAATAATGTACATACATGTAAATGTGTATGGATTGATTAATTAGTGGGTGTGGTTTGATGATTAATTAATTAATTGCTTGCTTACCCATTTATAAAAGATGACTTGATCGTCACTGTTTGATGCAAGGAGCGATGAGTCATTATGACTAAATGTGATGTATGTCTATAATGTAAAAAAACATGTACATATACATGTATAAAACAATGAAAATAATTCATTTTAATCCTCTAGTTTTCATACCCATACTTTCAAACTTTGATACTCATTCCTTCCCGTTCCATACCTGTATACCGTAGTCCGGGTTGAGTGTGACCGATTGCACCGGAGTCTCTCTCTCATTGGTCCAGTCCCAGACACTGACGACCTGAGGAATCTGACACCCAATGGTTGCTAGGTAACGGGCATCCTGTGACATGGCCACACCCACAACACCTTGACCCAAATTATTGTAAAACGTCCGAACTGGTATACTAGAGAAAATTGATACAGTATAAGTACATGAGAAGAATATAAATTATAAAATAAAAATAAAATAAAAAATAAAATAAAATAAAAAATAAAATAAAATAAAAAATAAAATATAAATAAATAAAAATGCATATAAAACAAATGTAAAAGTAATAATACCCAGAGTATGAGTCCCAAATGATGATGAGTGGGTCTGCTCCAACATCAGCAGTGGCCAGCCACCTCCTGTCACCACTCACTGCAGTGCAGGTTATTGGGTGACCCTGTAGTGAAGCAATAGTGAAGCAAGCATTATGTGCATTATACAGGTACAGGCACATCTACAACATAATTATTTAGTTGCAGAACAGTAAAAGTATCATATCACAATTAGCAAAAAGTCTTATTGTTGATAACAATGTATGCATAATTATTTTTTATAAAAATGGCTCTCTCTCTCTCTCTCTCTTACGTGTCCTTGCAGTAAGAACTGTCTGTGCCTCTTACAATCATAAATAATCCCAGTGTGACTGCAAGTGTAGAATATCATCTATACAAAACAGACAAATATACATGTACATGTACATGTACATGTACATCATAAACACACTCAGTTTATTACCACACTTTATGGGCATGTCTATACATATAAAGCATGTTTATGTTCGCATGAATTATAATACAAGTACATATTTACACGTATTTTTACATGTTACATAAAATAAAGTTAATTTTACATGTGCATCTGTGTAGTATCTACATGTACATGTAGATGCTAGTACCTTTTTGTCGTCAGTAGAAATGTTATGAACTGGTACATTGTGATTGAAACCATACGACCATGTAAGTGACTACAGAAATTAGCAAATAATTCATTATTATCATCACTGAGCATTAAAGTGTACTTACTAGTGGTTGGTTTGATAAAGGAGTTGGTGTATCAAAAGTCTGTCCAGGTACAGCAGTCTCTAATAGGCTCTTCTCTTCATCCTCTGATACTTTTAGCTTCTCTAATGGCAGCTCCATTATCTCAATCATTCCTCCTTCTTCATTCTTATCATCCTCTACCTCTCCTTCTCCGGGTATTGCTGGGTTTTCATCAGACGACTTAGAAGCAGTGGGTGGAGGAGCAGGAGGGAGTACAACAACACCATCACTTGGTTTCTCTTCACTTTGTTTCTCTTTTTCTTCAGGAGGAGGAGGAGGAGGTGAGGGCTCATTTGGTTTATCTGTTGATGGTTCTTCTTCTTCTTCTTTGTTTTGTTTTGTGCCCTTGTTTGAGTTGGGCTCTTTCAATTGTTGCTCCAGTTCAGACTGTTCCTCTCCTTCTTCATCTACTGCAGTAGGACCATCATTAGCTGGAGTAGGGCCACCATTAGCTGGAGTAGGACCATCATTAGCTGGAGTAGGGCCATCATTAGCTGGAGTAGGGCCATCATTAACTGGAGTAGGACCATCATTAGCTGGAGTAGGACCATCATTAGCTGGAGTAGGGCCATCATTAGCTGGAGTAGGGCCATCATTAGCTGGAGTAGGACCATCATTAGCTGGAGTAGGGCCATCATTAGCTGGAGTAGGGCCATCATTAACTGGAGTAGGGCCATCATTAGCTGGAGTAGGGCCATCATTAACTGGAGTAGGACCATCATTAGCTGCAGTAGGATCATCATTAGCTGCAGTAAGCTCATCAACATTTGCACCATCAGTATTATTAGCAGTAGAACCATCATTAGCAGTCATAGGAACATTATCCTTATTAGCTGTAGGATCATCATTGGTAGTAGACTCATCCCCAGTATTATTTGTGGCAGGCTCCAGTCCTGGTTCTTCTCCCGTTGGTTCGTTAGCAGGTGTATCAGTAACAGGTTCTGCTTCTTTCTCTCCTTGATCCTCTTTATCAGTTGAAGGTTTGAATTCTTCTTGAGGCTCTTCAGTTACCTCCTTCTCTCCATTACTAGTATCATTAGTGCTTGCTTCATCAATTTTAGCCTCCACTGGCTCAATTTCTGTCTGTTTTTCCTGGGAATCTTCCATTACAGGATCTTGGCTTACTTCACCACCTTCCGCCATTTTGATTTATTTGTTGCTATAGCAACGGGAAGTGATCTAATTGAACGAATCATTTGTTAAAATAGAACAAAATAAAATTGAAAATTACCATCACAGCAGAAAACATCATTCACAATGTCCTTGAGAAGAACAGGCTCTTCTAGTATCAACCTCCCTCGAGATCTGTTGAAAGACTTATCAATAGAGAGGCTAGAGGTGCTCGCAAACAAAGAAGATGAATTTGTTACATTTTTCAGCCAATTAGAGCTTGATCAGGTACAAACACAAGCAATTTTGTGAATTATAACAATAATGTGTATCTCCTCCCCCTCTCTCTCAGATGAAGGATATTCAGAGAAGGAGAGATGAGATAACTAATGCTAATCGCGAGCTCTCTCTTGCCAACACTGATAGGAGGCCTGTCTTTGAACAGAAGAAGCAGGAGTTGATTAATGGCAGCCTCAAAGCATCAGAGCTGAAGGAGGAGTATGACAGGAAACACGAACAATTGAGTAAGTAATAACAAGAATTTCATATACCTGGTAGTTAGTTTTTGGAGCTGATTCTGATCGAAATTGGATTTTTAAAATGAATTTTAAAAGGTGCTCAAAAATGGTCTTTGTCCAAATTTTGTCAAAAATGAAATCAAGGGAATTTTCCATTTTATAATTTTTCCTGATGCATATACATGTTCTTATGATGTGTAGAAAGTTTGAACTGATTCCGATTAAAATTTGGATTTTTTATGAATTTTTTAAGTTGCTCCAAAATCAGACAAAAGTCCCTGTACTATAGTACATGGTCTTGGACCAAATTTTGCCAAAAATGGAAAGTAGAGAATTCTCCATTTTTATTACATTTTCTGATGCATATACATGTACTTATGTTGTGTAGAAAGTTTGAGCCAATTCCGATTAAATTTGAATTTTTTATGAATTTTAAAAGTTGCTTCGAAATTAGACAAAATACCCTGCACTATAGTACAGTATCTCCAGCCCCTCCCCTTGATGATTTGCCTGTTTATAATTTTTAGAGGCACTCAGTGTGAGTAAGGACAGACAAGCTATATATCAAGAGCTCCAACAAGCAGTGAAAGATGCTGAAAAAGAATCAGAAGTAATTTTATTTATTTTCCATTTATATTTCTTTATTTTTGTACACTGCAGATATTTTCGTTGTATTTTGTGCACTAATTTCATTTATATTTTCTTTTTTTTTTCACTTTTCTCCCAGACGTTAGCTGATCAATATCTTGACGGCGTTATTAAAATGGCTCCAGACGAATTCATCCAGCAATTTCTCTCTGATCGCTCAATCTATTGGTCGCGTAGAGTCAAGTCCGAAAAAATGGACGTCATCATGAAACAGCCGCTCCCATATCCCGTGGCGACGCCCATTCCCCAGCCGCCAAAACCAGCTCCATTTCAGCCACAGCCTCACTCCTCGATGCCGGCTCCGGCGTACAACCCACGCCCCACCAGTGGTCCATTGCCACCGTCCTACGCATCCCTCAGTCCTTCTTATAACAACCCTGTCCACTCCATGGCCTCTTCTTATAACCAACCACCACCGCCTACCTCAAGTATGGCCGCTCCTGTTCGTCCCTCTTCTAGCATGCCAATGCCTGGTATGGCGCCATATCCTGGACAGCAGCAGGGATATCCCACGGCTAGTTTTCGTCCCTCATACCCGCCCCATGCTCCAGCTGGCTCTTATAATCCAGGGTCGTATGGAGGCGGCGGTATATACCAGCAGGGTCCTTATTATCCTAGGCCTAGGAGGCAATAGGATGATGGAGTGAGGGGGTTGTTTTGGGTAACTGCTACTGATTTAGAATTAATAATAATAATTATTATTATTAATAATGATTATTTATTAGTATTATTGTTGTCATTGTCTGTGTTGTTAATTTAATTAAATAATAATTTATAATGAATGATGCACAATGTGAACTAGTGGAGACTGGGCAATGAGACTAAAATTGTGAACATAATAACTAATATTTTTGAGACAGAAGAAAACGTTTTCCTCTCTCAATACTTGTGAACATTCAATAATGATATATATATACATGTATATATATATATATATATATATATATATATATATTGTGATTCAATAATGATAATATATATATAGAAACAAAATGCTAAAGGATTACAATATTTCGTTATTTTTTGCTAGACTTCCCATAGCTCGGCCTCTCATTCTTCACATACTGAGCCATAAAAGCGAATATTATCACAAAAAATGCAGCACCAACAATCATCATTTGCTGTTGAGCGTTCACTACTCGTTCAAATCTAGATGATTCAGTCTTTGCGGCTCTTTCCGCCCTAGCTTTCTGCTCTCGCCTCAACGCCTCTCCATAATGAGCTTGATAGAAAGCATCAAAGTCATAAATCACACTACTATCAGTTCTTGTCCTGGGGGCTCGGCTAAAGTCCCATTGGCCAGAGCTATAATGAGGTAGAGGGTGCTCACGTAGAAGACCTTTGTCGTATTTTCGTCTCAGATTGTTACGTCCAAGTATTGAGTAAGCTTCGGTGATTTCTTGGAATTTTGCGTTAGCTTCTTGACTGCCTTTGTTGTGATCGGGGTGATACTTCTTTGATAGTTTGTAATAGGATTCTTTTATCTGTGATTGGGTAGCTTTTGAAGTGAGACCAAGACGTGAGTAAAGATCTTTTTTGCTGCCTGAAGATGAAGAGAAGTGACGTCCATAGTAAGCTAATGGTAGGACTTCTCGACTAGCTGGAGATTTGTATAGAAGTTTACCATCTTGTTTTATAGCAGCAGGTCCACTAGCAGTTAAAAAAGAAGAAATAAACGAGACATTTCTAGTAGTCCTCCAGACATACAGCATTTTAATAATAGGCGTGGCTAACATAGGCGGGCTTGTAAATTTTGAGCCACGCCTTAATAAATTAATCGAGTGGGTGTTGAGTTGAATGATGTGGTTTCAGTTGATCCTTCTGTTAATTCTGAATTTCTGATTTGCAATGTGAACATATAATTAATATTTTGGGACAGAAGAAAACATTTTTTCTCTCTTTAGACTTGTGAACATTCAATAATATGATCCATTGATTATACAGAAATAAAAAGCCAAAGGATTACAAACAATATTTCGTTATTTTTTGCCAGACTTCCTATAGCTCTGCTTCAGATTCTCCCCATACTGAGCCATTCCAAGGTGAAAAGCAAATAATACTAGAAAACATGCAATACCAATGATTATCATTCGCTGTTGAGCGTCTATTATTCGATCTCTAGACGATTCTTTCTTTGCGGCTCTTTTCGCCCTAGCTCTCTGCTCTCGCCTCAATGCCTCTCCGTAATGAGCTTGATAAAACGCATCAAAGTCATACACAGTACTTTTAGTTCTTGTACTGGGGGCTTGACTAAAGTCCCATTGGCTGGAGCTATAATGAGGTAGAGGGTGCTCACGTAAAAGACCTTTGTCGTATTTTCGTCTCAGATTGTTACGTCCAAGTATTGAGTAAGCTTCGGTGATTTCTTGGAATTTTGCGTTAGCTTCTTGACTGCCTTTGTTGTGATCGGGGTGATACTTCTTTGATAGTTTGTAATAGGATTCTTTTATCTGTGATTGGGTAGCTTTTGAAGTGAGACCAAGACGTGAATAAAGATCTTTTTTGCTGCCTGAAGATGAAGAGAAGTGACGTCCATAGTAAGCTAATGGTAGGACTTCTCGACTGGCTGGAGGTTTGTATAGAAGTTGACCATCTTGTTTTATAGCAACAGATCCACTAGCACTTAAAAAAGAAGAAATAAAGGAGACATTTCTAGTTGTCCTCCAGATATACAGCATTTTGAATTAATCTAGGCGTGGCTTGTAAATTTTGAGCCACGCCTTGACTAATTATTTAAGTGGGTGTTGGATTGAAGTAAAGGTGTGGCTTGGATGGTTTCAGTTGATCTTTCTCCTAATTTCTTCCTAGTTTGCAGTTTGGTGATGGCTTCAGCTCCGGGCATTGTGTCATTGGTGCCAGAATGGTCTCCTACTCTTCTCTCTGCATTTACTGGCGGTGGCCTAAAGGACTGAGAAAGGCACAACTAGTATCTGTCCTTTGTGCTGGGTTTTTAATCCAGCTATCCCTAGGCTCACTGTACACATATGGTAACCTTGCTCCTTATATAGTGTCCTATGTGAGGGAGAGATCACACCCTACTTCATTGCGATACACTGATGCTACGTTTGTCTTTGCCTCTCAGATAGCAGGCCAGGGTCTTAGCATGGCTTTCGGCGGGTTCCTAGAGAAAAGGTTTGGTCCCAGGCTCGTGTCTTTGTTTGGCGGTTGGTTCATGAGTTTAGGTGTACTCCTCACGTACTTTTCAATTCAAAAGTCTTTCTGGCTCCTCCTCCTGACGTATGGTTTCATGTTTGGACTGGGTATTGGTATTGCATACATTGGTCCCATATCCTGTGCCATGAGGTGGCTGCCTAAATGGAAAGGGATTGCCACTGGAATTGTAGTGTCTGGATTTGGTCTGAGTGCCCTATTCTTTGATACAATAGAGTCGGAGTACATTAATCCACACAATAAGAATCCTGATGTAGCTCCTTTTAAAGACTACCCCAAAGAGAAATACTTTTCTCAACCGGATGTCATCGATCGCGTTCCATCTGTGTTTTTGGTCCTTGGTAGTCTCTTTGCATTCATACAAATTTTGGGAGCAATTTTTCTTGTTAATCCTGCACCTTCTGATGACATAGTTGTTGAATATCATCAATCTGCTAATTGTGAAGAGAAAAGCTCATTTGTTAAGGATAATTCAAAAGAGCAAAAAGAAAGCAAAGAAATACTTGCATCACCAATTGAAGACTCTGCTCCAAAAACAGCAGACAAATATTCAAACAAAATGACCAAGACTGATGACACATGTGAAAAGAATAATGACAAGGGAGCAGATTCAAGTCCTGATTCCTTTAAGGCTAATGTCATTAGTTTATTTAAGAGGCCAGAGTTCTATGTGCTTTGGCTAATGTTCTTCTGTATTGGCATAATCTGCACTTTCACTGCTTCTCTATACAAAAGCTTTGGATTTGAGATTGTTACATCTGATGACACTTTGCTTTCTCTAATGGGAGCAATCGCTGCAATTTTTAACTGCCTTGGACGAATTATCTGGGGCCTTACTGCAGACCTGACGGATTACAATTTTGCTTTTGTCCTTCAAGGAAGCCTAATGATCTTTCTCATCTCCAATCTCTTTTCTGCTGGTTTTGCTGGTAAGGGGATGTTCTTTGTCTGGGTCTGTGCCATTTTCTTTTGCATTGGTGGCTATTTCTCTCTCTTTCCAAGCATCTCTACATCTTTATTTGGTTCCAAGTATTCAAGTATGAATTATGGGTTTCTGTTCACTGCTAATGCCGTTGGAAGTCTGACAGGTGCTTTTATATCTCAATGGCTTGTGAGACTTTTGGAGTGGTATGGTGTCTTCTTTCTGTTATCTGGCATACATGGTACTCAGCTAGCTTTGTCATTCTTTCTGTGCTATATCATGCAGCAAAGAAAGAAAAAATGAAACTTTTTTCAAGGACATTTATTTTTAATTGTAGTTTTATCATTGCATTGCTTTTTTGCTGCTTGCATTATAAAAATTGAGGTGGAGCTCATTAACTTTAGAGGTGTGGCTCAAATGTAGGCGGAGCAAAAAAGTGTGGCCTGTTTTCACTTTTGAGGTGAAACAATGCCGAGCTACTCCTCTCTCTGCATCTATTGGAGATGGCCAGGCCCAACTATTGTTCAGCGATTACAGATGATCCTTGTCTTAATGTCATGTTTCTTATTCCATCTCTCCATTGGCTCAATCTACACCTATGGAAACTTACTTCCTTACCTCGTCTCTTATGCTAGAAACCACACTAATCAGGCTGAGCTCAAAAACACCCAAGGTACTTACATATTCTCCATCCAAGTCTTTGGCCTTGCAGTAGGCATGCTAGCTGGAGGTGTACTCGAGAAAAAATTTGGCCCTAGATTGGTCTCTCTTTCTGGAGGATGGCTGATGAGTGCAGGTGTGGCACTAAGCTACTTTGCAGTCAAGAAGAACTTCTGGTATCTCACTATGACGTATGGGATAATGTTTGGATTAGGAACTGGCATATCGTACATTGGGCCGATAGCCTGTGCCATACGGTGGTGCCCACGGTGGAAAGGGGCTGCAACTGGTTTTGTGGTTTCTGGCTACGGAATCAGCAGCTTAATATTCACTACAGTTCAAACAGCATATGTTAATCCTCATAACGTAGAGCCGATTGGGCCTGTGTGCGATATGGAACAAGATACTCCAGAGAGTTGTGATAATGAGAAGTATTTCGAAGACGCCAAAATGATGTCTCGAATTCCGACCTTGTTCCTACTCTTGGCGGGAGTTTATGCTAGCCTACAGCTGATAAGCTCAATCTTTCTAGTCAATCCTCCGCCTCCTCTTGCAGATGAAGAAAAGCGACCAATTCTAATACACGAGGATTCTCCTTCTCCACGAGTGTACAGTCCTTCAACTTCAATGTCTCGCTCTGCTCTTATTAACAAGAAACTCGATACCCTCACGGTAGTTAATGTCACTCCTCTACAGTTGTTTAGAAAACCCAGTTTCTACCTTATCTGGTTCATGTTTGCTTGCATCGGAATTGGAACCTCATTCATCACAACGCTTTATAAAAGTTTTGGCCTTGAAAAAGTCACTGATGATGATTGGTTGCTCTCAATAGCAGGAGCTGTAAGCTCAGTTTTTAACCTCTCTGGTCGTTTCTTTTGGGGTGCATTAGCAGATTTCACTAGCTATCGGACAGCTCTGGTATTCCACGGAGCACTTGCAACTTTTATCTACTTTACATTTTATGCAACTGGGGCAGCTGGAATAGTCATGTTCTTTTTCTGGCTTTTTGGGATTTATTTCTGCATCGGTGGCTCCTACTCTCTCTATCCTTCTCTTGTGGCTCAGTTATACGGCACAGAGAACATTAGTATTAATTATAGTTTCGTCTACAGCTCTCAGATCGTAGGAAGCCTCTTGGCTTCATTCCTATCTCACTTGCTAGTGGACTATATCGACTGGTATGGAGTGTTTTTTATAGTGGGAGGGCTGAGTCTAGTAGAGTATATACTAGCAATACTTTATAATAACAAGCGCTACATACGAAACTAATTATCATTTTTATTGTGTTTGTGTAATTTGCATAAAAGCTGATAAAATATTTTGCAGGTCAAATGGGTGGGGCTCATAATTTTATATAAGATCATAAGATCTAGACGTGGTTTGACCACGCCCTTTTAATTAATCAAGTGATTGACACGTGATGGCTAGGCCTGAGCATAAGGGACCTCCACAGATAGTTGAGTAGACAAAATTATATAAACATTCTATTCACCATTATTCCTTCTCCTTCCTTGTAGTTCTACGATGAGCAGGAAGCCAGGAAGTACTCGAGAAAGTAAGGACTCCATCTTTCATTGTCTTTTTTGTAGCTATAGCCGCGCCTTTTACACTAACGTAATGAGCTGGAACTACTCATTAGACTGTAGTATTGTGTACTAGTAAAGAATACGCGAAACTCGAGACTTTACTTTTCTTGAAAATGGATCTCATTTTTCCTCTTTTATTTTCTCATAGACTAAAAGGCAGCCCCACCCACCTCTCTCCGACGTACACAATTAGTAAACTTTTAAAATGGTGAATTACTCGTCTCTCTGTGTCTACTGGCGATGGCCTAAGAGACTTAGAAAAGCACAATTAATCTCCGTCCTTTGTGGAGGATTCCTCATTCATCTCTCATTAGGGTCACTATATACTTATGGTAACCTGGCTCCATACATTATCTCTTATGTAAGGAAAAGATCTCACCCGACCAACCTTGAGTTCACCAGTGCTACGTTAGTCTTTGCCTCTCAGATAGCAGGCCAGGGTCTTAGCATGGCTTTCGGCGGGTTCCTAGAGAAAAGGTTTGGTCCTAGGCTTGTGTCTTTGTTTGGTGGTTGGTTCATGAGTTTAGGTGTACTCCTCACGTACTTTTCAATTCAAAAGTCTTTCTGGCTCCTCCTCCTGACGTATGGTTTCATGTTTGGACTGGGTATTGGTATTGCATACATTGGTCCTATATCCTGTGCCATGAGGTGGTTACCTAAATGGAAAGGGATTGCTACTGGAATTGTAGTATCTGGATTTGGTCTGAGCGCCCTCATATTCAATGCTGTACAAACCGCTTTCATTAATCCGACAAATATAGCTCCAGATGATGACACTGATTATTTCGAAGATCCCAATCTCATTGATCGCGTTCCTTACGTCTTCCTAGTCCTTGGAGGGTCCTACGCTGTCATGCAATTCCTTGGTTCTATATTTCTCGCTAATCCAGTACCAGCTAGTGAAGATCAGGGTCCTAATGGTTATCGGGCCATTCCCGATAGCGATTTAAACGAAGGACGAAAGAGAAGCGAGTCTGAGGACAGCGTCTCTCTCTGTGATCACAGTTACCAGGTCTCTTCCATACAGAGGGAAGGTTTGGAGCGAAGCAGTAGAGCAGGTAGCAGCGACAGGCAGTCTTTAAACGAGAGTCTAAAGAAGCCTCAAGCCACTCGTCATCGAAATCGTGACTCCTCGTCTATGGTGGAGTCCGATTTGGAGAGGTCTGGCGCCTCGTGGACTTCTAACTACATTTATAAAGTTGCTCCTCTAGAACTCCTGAGGAGGCCCAATTTCTACGTGCTCTGGACCATGTTCTTGTGTGCTGGGATAGCAACGGCGTTTATAAGCTCGCTCTATAAAACGTTTGGATTAAAGACAATCAGAGATGATCATTTCCTTACTCTTATCGGAGGAGTAAGCGCCTTCTTTAATCTCCTTGGTAGGATCCTCTGGGGTATTCTTGCTGACCTCACTAGTTATAAATTTGCTTTCGTTTTACAAGGAGGCGTTGCCAGTTCGCTCCTCCTTACATTGTACACAACGAATGATGAATCATACTTTGGTGAAACCGCTACTAAAGTGATGTTCTTTGCATGGATCTGTGGCATATACTTCTGTATTGGCGGATACTTCTCTCTTTTTCCGACTGCCATTGCTCGTTCTTTCGGTCAAGAAAATGTAAGCATTAATTACGGATTGCTTTTCACGGCTCAGATAGTCGGAGGGATTTTGGCAGCTTTTATATCGGAAATACTGGTGAGTAAGATACACTGGTATGGTGTGTTCTTCGTTATAGGTGGCCTTCATATTTTCGAGTTCTTTCTTGCGATTTGTTATCGTCACAAACGGTTCATTCGTCTCAGGCATCCTGCTGATTTTCATAACTCTGCTACTGTCATTGAAGAAAGATCGATAAAGTTTCCAGACGAGAGTGACCTTGGAAGAAGTGGAGAAGAGAAATAAGACAATAAAAATGATAATAAATAATTAAGGATTATGTTTGATTTCTTAACCTTCTTTTAGTATCCTCTCCCTCTCTCTTTCCTTTTCTTTTTGTACTTGTTTGTAAATTGTAATTTTTAAAAATTCTCAAATGTGATACTTAGTGGATCTATACGTCAACTTACAGTAAATGTTTATAAATGCGTCCATTGTGTGAAACTTCAAATTTTTCAACTGATTTCTCCTGTAGCTCCAGGATAATTGAAGTCCAATCCAATATGGCGGAGAGAGCAGTGGAACTGCTTGTACTACCTGAAGACTCTCCATCATTTATACTGGACATTGGGTAAAATATATATTCTGTATACATGTACATGTATGTACTGTATTGTGTTATGGTGTAGGTGTGGGTCTGGTTTGAGTGGTCAGGCATTAAGCGAGGAGGGTCACTATTGGATTGGACTGGACATCAGTGAACCAATGCTTAGTATGTCACAGAGTAGGAATTCTTAAATTAAATTGCAATACCTGATTGAAGAATTATACAAGAAATAACTACATATTAAATGTTACATGATACGGTATTGGTTTGTTCAATAGAGGTAGCACAGGAGAGAGAAGTTGAAGGTGACCTCTTTCTATGGGATATGGGAGAAGGGCTTGGATTTCGACCTGGTACTTTTGATGGTGCACTAAGGTAACTCTACTTTATGATTTTCTGTACTCTCTCTCTTTATGTAGTATTTCTGCTTTGCAGTGGCTCTGCAATGCCGACTGCACTGAACATAATCCAGTCCGTAGGCTCTACTCATTCTTTGTATCTCTTTACTCTTGTCTGGTAAGTTGAACTGTCAGTGGGTCTTGAATGTGATACTTTGCAGGCTAGAGGAGCTCGCGCTGTTTTTCAGTTTTATCCTGAGAATCCTGATCAAGTAGAAATGTGACGTGTAATCTTTTATTTACTCTCTCTCTCTCCCCATTTCTTTTAGATGGAGTTGATAACACATCAAGCAATGAGAGCTGGCTTTACTGGAGGCGTTCTCATTGATTATCCTAACAGTTCCAAGGCTAAAAAGTTAGTACAAAATGAGCCATTCACTATGCATAGCTAATATTTACAACTAATAATTTAACTTTATAGACTTTATTTGTGTCTTTTTACTGGAGGAGCACCTGTTGCACTACCAAAGGTGAAGAGAATAGGGACATTTCTAAAATTACTATTACTACATTACAGGCTTTAGGAACTGAAGATTTAAAGAGTGAACAGAATCAAATATCGTTTGTTGAAGCAAGGTAATGTCAGTCTTTTGTACTTGTCATGGATTTCATGACAATGGAACTAATGGGTTTTTACTTGTCACGGATTTCGTGACAATGGAACTAATGGGTTTTTACTTGTCACGGATTTCGTGACAATGGAACTAATGGGTTTTTACTTGTCACGGATTTCGTGACAATGGAACTAATGGGTTTTTACTTGTCACGGATTTCGTGACAATGGAACTAATGGGTTTACTCTAATTCTATGCATTCTTCTAGTTTAAGTTATCATTTTTATTGTTATATCATCAGGAAAAAATTAAAAAGGAGAGGTAAGGATAAAGTACCAGTCAAGAGTAGAGACTGGATAATAGCAAAGAAAGAGAGAAAACAAAGACAAGGAAAGTAAGTATAAACACACTCTCATTTTAAATGTACAATGTACATATTAATCTGTCTTTTAGGGAAGTTAGACCTGATTCTAAATACACTGGAAGGAAAAGGAAACCAAGATTCTAACTTTCATCTCATTTCTCTCTTCCCTGTACAATTGTTATTGTATTAATCAATTTCTCTTCTAATCCTTTTAGTTGCTGTTTGATAGCTTCCCTCTCCATCTTGTTTCTCTTCTCCATAGATCCAACTTCTGACTCGTCTGATGTACTCAAAACATCAAAGATGCTACACACAAATCTTGATTGCCATTCTTTTTTCTCTTGCATCTTTTGACTTGTCCTGCAACATAGTTTTTGTTGGACACGGTATTGAATTTCTTTTTGCTTCTCAATTGAGATTTTTCGATGAGAAGATGCACAAATCATCTCAAGCCTTTGAAGATCACACGTTCTTTCAGATTGTAACTTTTTCACTGATTCCTCTAGCAACTTAATATCCTTCTCTAGGGAAGCAGAAGAAAGATCACGAGATGGTTTACTTGTTTCTTCTTCCTTTAAAGCAAGCTCAAGTACACTATTAAACCAGTTGCTTACAACAGTCCTGGCTCTTCCTCCATCATTGCTCCATTCATGACACTGCTTTAACAACATCAGGCTTGTCTCAGACTCTTTAAGATAGGCCTTCAATCTTTCTCCGTGTCTAAGGAAATACAAGTCTTGTAGTGAGAGGGGACTGTCTTTTGATGAATAAGTGTATTCTGATATCCTAGTACTCAGTTTTTGACAAGTATGAGATATCCTGTTCAGTGTCCTCAATTCTTTGTCTAATCTTCCCTTCAGCCACACCAGTCTCTCTATGCTACTAAGAGTCAGCGAATTTTCATGCATTTCTTTACGAATCTCTTCCATTTGAGATTTAAAACCATCCAGGAGGAGATTGGTATCCTCAAGGAGGCCATTCATTGGTTCCTTTAAAGGTAGCAATGGATGAGCTAGTCTTTGTACACACATTAGTCCTACCCTCTCCACTATATCATACTGTAGTACCACCCAGCCAAGAGCTAGTAATAATTCACGTGACCCAAGACCCAATACATCATCCCCACTTTGATAGAACCCCAATCGCGACACATACCCTAATGATAGGAGACGTTTACGTACATGCATCAGTAACCATTTTGTGTCTTTTTCAGCAGGTGAGTGAGGTAGGAGGATAGGAGTAATGTCTGGTGTACTTATTGTGTCTAGTAATTGGAGGGTGTGGTGTAGGAGGGTCAGTATCTCGAGGGATGATGAGGGATTGTTGAATTTAGCTTGTCTTATGGTCTCTGGTGATACTTTTGGTGAGTCGTGAGCTGATCCTGAGAGTATGGAGAGGAGGAGTTGAATGCTTTCTTTCACAGGAGGAGCTTTGGTAGCTGCCATTTCTGCATTCAGTTCTGCAAATGAAATAATTATTAATTTTTACATATCACGTGATCTGCAGTTGCCATGGTGATTACTGCTGATCCACGATAAATAAGAAATGGCGGCCAAGGACTTCTCTGATGTTGTCCTGGAAGCGACCAAAGACCAAGAGAAAGAGGACAAACGTACCTCCTTCAGTGAGAGGCTCAAGAAAATCCGCCAGAATAGAAACACCAGAAGAAATGTATCAGCAGCAGCCTTGCCCTCTACTTTGGAAGAAGGATCCACTTCTTCTCCTCAGCTGGGCATAACAAGGTCTCTTGGGACTCTTCCTAGCCTACCTCCTCCCTCCATTCCTCCTCTAACCCTCCCTACTGTAGAGGAAGCGTCTCCTAAACACGAACTGACTCACGAGGATTCTTTTGGTATATACTTGATGAATGGGAAGGAGGAAAAAGAGAATGAGGAGAAGTTGGAGGAGAAGGAGAAAGAAAAAGAGAATGTAGAGATTAAAAAGACTAACCCAGAGGTAACGATGAAAGATGGAAAACTAGTTTCAATAGTCGATGATCATTTATACGAAATACCTGAACCACTACCGCTAAAACAAGAACCCAAACCCTCACCACCACATCCAGCCACTCCTAAAAAGACTCCTTCTCCCTCTCTCTCTCCTTCTCCCCCTCTCTCTCCTTCTCCCCCTCTCTCTCCCTCTCCCCCTCTCTCTCCCTCTCCCCCTCTCTCCCCTGATGATACTCTTGGTCCACCTCCCTCTCTACCTAGTTCCCCTCCCCCTGCTCTACCTAGTTCCCCTCCTCCTCCAATCCCTTTTTCAGTAGATGATGATGATATCAGTCAGTCCCTCTCTCCTACTATCTATCCTGGAGATATACAATTCACTGCCAGTGATGACGTTTTCATCGAAGGGACTTTCCCTCTTTCTTCTACAGAAACCCCGCTTACTGAGACTCCACCCACTGGCCGAGAGTCTCCCGAAGAGTCTTACGAAGACGAAGGGACCAGACGTCGATCAATAATGTCAACCACTTCAGCACAAGACCTTCATTTCAAGCCCTCGCTTAAAAAATGGGGTGTGGTTAATCTTAACGAGCTCAACGGGACCCCACCTTCTTCATATGACGACGGAAAAGACGGCGAATATTTCAAGTCTCTGGGCCCGGCCCCTGGGTATCATAATCGTAGCTACAGTGGTCTATCCCGGGTCAGTGGGGGCGGAGTTGAAATGAGTCTTGAGAGTATTACAGAACTGACTGATCCTTCCCTACCACCACAGCTGGTACAAGACAAGCTGACGTCAGATAACCTTAAAGAAGGTGACATTGATGTAAAAGAGGTTGCTAAGGCCAGCTGGAGAGCTAAGAAGCCTCCTGCAATAGAGCCAGCCATTAAGAAAGAAGATGAATTCAAGACTGTCAGTGCTTGCCAGTTAACTAGTACTAGCTATGGAAATGACAACGATAAAGTTGAGCTAGCTATTGACAAGAAGGAGAAGAAAGAAGTTTTGCTTCCTGTAAAGGTACTAGGAAAAGAAGAGCTGGAGCTGGCAAGACAAAATGAGATGAGAGAAAGAGAGAGACAGAGACACTTACTAGCAATGGAAGGAGAAGAGGAGGAGGAGGAGGAGGAAGAGAGAGAGGGACAAGGAAAGAAAAATAAAAAAGGGAATTTAGAACGACTCAACCAAGACGACATACCACACTCAACTTCTAGCTTTTTTGACGCAGTTGTGTCTGATATACCCGGTCTTACTGGAAACAAAGAAGAAGAGAAAGGAGGAGTAAAAGAAGTGGAGACTGGAGCTAAGAAGAAAGTGGAGCCATTACATGTGTATGAGCTAGTACAGCAAGATGAAGGATACGAGTTTATCCAGCCACGCCCTCCACCAACTCCTGCTCGATCTGCAACGTTTTCTTCTGGCTCTGTGTCTCCTCCTGTTTCTCCAAGCACAGTGTCTTCATCTCCTCCTCTCTCTCCCACGTCTCTCTCTCCTCCTCTCTCACCCACTGGAGGAGCAGGAGCCAAGAATGATGGAAGACAGACCATGCTTAAACTTCATATGCACACAGTTCATCCAGGTAATGATGATGATTATTTATTATTAATTCTAGTGCATTGAAATGCAACTTGTAGTGTTGAATCAATACAGTACTTATAATAGTTAATTTTTGCTTTAAAAAGTTACTGTATGATAATAATGTACATGTAAATGCATGTACATGTATATTAATTATTTTTATCTTCATGATGTATAATTATATGCAGGTGTAATGTACAAGATGTTCAGGGTGAGTGATAGCACTACAGTACTTGATCTTGTCTCAATGGCTCTCAAGAAAGCTAACCTCATTGAAGATCCTCACAGCTATACCATATACAATATACAGACCGCTAACAAAGGTATGTATACATGTACATGTAATTATTGAAAATTACATGTAATACATGTACATATGCATGTACGTGTATCTCTCTATTTTTCTCTTTTTTATATCTTTCTTGCTCCTTCTTTGATAGTTATTGTACAGTCTATCAAAGATGGTGGTTACGTCTTACCATATCTCATTAAAACTAAGGAAGGAACACAATGGGAGCTTAGAAGAAAGAAAGACACCAAAAAAGTTGAAGTAAAACTATCATCTAACAACCTTCCATGAATAAACTCATTCTTCTCCATCCCTTGTATAGATTATCATTGATGTCAGTGGTGCTAGTAAGAAGAGTATGTCTTTATTCGTGTCTCCACAAACCACATCCCAAGAGGTGACTCTACTCCTCTCTAGGAAACTTGGACTCACGATTCCTAAGGGAAAGGAGAGTCCTTACAGGATATTATTAGTACAGGATGATGATACAGGTACATGTATATGTACAATGATAATATTTTATTTCTTTTTTCTTTTAACAGATGAAAGGATGGTTGGGTCTGATAGTCCTTTGCTCTACAGTCGTTCCTCTAGTACCAGCTCCTCCTCCTCCTCCTCCACTGATAGGTTTAAAATGGTAGATATTGTTCAGTATCTCACTAAAGAGGGCGATCCTTCATCTTCTACTGAAGCAGCAGCTCCTAAGCCTAAAGACTTTGAATCAGCTAAGATCATACTACAGCAGGTAAAGTAACTTTAGAAATGGTTGTGTATTCTGCTAAGAAACTTTTGTAAAAGCAAAAGGTATATTTTTGCTTCTATGAAACCTGAATACATGTATTTTATAATGAGCTACATGTAAATATTTATAATTTATTTATTATTGAGTGATTGTACATTTCCTCTCTCTTTTCTCTTAACACTATACTCTAGTCTCATGAGAGATTGTTGGAGCTACAGAAAGAGCTGGTTGTCAAAGGCTATACAATCAAACAAATTGAAAGAAACTTTGAAGAAACTAGAAAACAGAATGATACAGTACACGATATCACATATTGTGCTCTTGTTAATTAAAGGTTTATTTTTCTTATTGTAGCTACAGACCCAACTGGATACATTGCAGAGTGATGTCAAGACATATCAGGAGAAAAATAAAGTATTGACACAGACAGTGGAAGGTACATTAATAAATAGAGAGAGAGGGGGAAAGTGAGGAATAGGATGGTTATGTAGTATAGCTAGCATCAAGAGTAGATAATAATAGAGGAGAGTGTCCTACTGTGCATATACCCCCGCTTCATCACGTCGTAGAATTGAAGAGTCACATTCAGGATATTTTCAGTATTTTATTTAAGTAGTTATTATATTGCTAGTTATTTTTGAATAACTACTCTAAAATACTGAAAATATTCTGAAT